TTGCCCAAGGACCACCAGCAGATTTTCTTCCATTGTGTTTATAAATAACAAGGTCCTATAGACATTTCTGCCAGCAACTTTTAGACTATTTTAAGTTCATGATGTAGTATAATTTATGAGCTTCATTCTCCCCAGTGAGAGAAAAACTCCTTTATTCCAGGCATCTTACTTTTTTTTTCTTTCTCTCCCAAAGAAATAAGTGCCCTTTATTTACTATAAGGTCAACCAAAACAATGTATGAGGAGAACCTTATTAAACAGAGGCCATCCTTACAGTTCTTTTTCCACTTTAAATTTTTTAAAGAATCCTTTTTCTCCTTGCTGGCTAAAAATAGGTCAAGTGATTTAGCCAGTCCATTGCAATTAAAATTCTGACATTGCCATTGTTGCTTCTATTATGGGGGAAAAGACAAACCGAATACATGATAATAGGGGTTCACTGGCTAAGTCATTTGATGTGCTACCTATTGTTCTATTGCTGAGGCTCAGCCATAACCTGTCTGAAAGCCCGGGTTTTGGTGATAATAGTACAGTATCAAGATGATAACACCATCTCTAAAGCAATGCATAACACTTCTTTTGTGGTTAGTAAAACAATAGCATTGGAGAGGGAAAAACCCTTGTCAATGCTTGAAACCCAACTCCTATGACTTATGCACTGATTTTTGGTTTGGAACACAATGTTACTTGTGGGATTTATTTTAAAGAAAGTGTTGCTGAATCACCTTGAAAGCAATCCTCATTCTCATTAAAGATCCAGCAGCCCTTTGCCCTAGATTAGAACCTATGGCTTGTTCATATTTTAACCTGGAAGATTGCATTTTGCATACTAGGTTATTTCCTTCCACCTTCCCGGCCCCAGACATGCCATCAAAATCATTCTTAGATCCATTTACTCCCAATCAACAATCCTGTTACCTGGAGTAATGCGGAGTTCTCACCAATCCAACATGAATGCTATTTGGATGGCTTGATCCTAAACTCTGTTTATTCTACTTTTAACAAACAGAAATCGCTGGCCCAGCGCATATTTGCAAAATAAGTAAATCTTGATGCAGGTTTGACGATGGGCTGCTAACAAAGGGTTGTCGGTTCAATTCCTCCAGCCTGTCTGAGGGGGAACGACGAAGTGGTCTGCTCCCTTAAGATTTACCCACTCGGGAAGCCCCTCAGGTCACCATGAGTAGGAATGGACTTGATGGCAGTGAGTTTGGAGGCTATTTTGTTTAATCATAAATTAAGGACTTTGATACTTTTATTCTCAAAAAAGGCATTAATTCTGAAGTCTTTCTTGATTAAAAAAATATGTTATTCAATAAAAGAAATGAAGTCTTCAAAAGTGGCAAAAAAGCAAATAAACAAGCAAGTAATAAAACAACAACAAAAAATCCTCTAGAGGAAAACCGTATTCCTTTGACCTTCTAAATCAATTCCACAAGGGGGCGGAAACACCTAATGGTCCAGGACTGTAAAGTTTACATTTCCAAGCCGGCCACCCATAATAGATTAGTGGATTCATATTTTGTTCTAAAGGATCTGGCCTTTAATGTTGACGTCAATTTATAGCTATCTCAGGCGTTTACAGTAGTAAAAGTCACGGAGACCATAAACTTCACAATAGATGTCAGCCTTCTGCTACTAGTACTGTAGCCTAGCACCCCATAAAGAGGGGTGATTAGCTAACTGTTCTTCAAAGACCCATCCACAGCTCTAACGTCTTTATCAGCTCCTGCAAAGAGGCTGCCACCAGGGTTTTATCAGCCACAAGGCAGAGGTACAGTTTTTATTAATGTGTACTTATTTCTCTGACATGGATCTAAGATGTGTGCAGCTGCTTATCAGTGATCACTTCTGCCAAATCAAGCCTTAGAGTGTCTATTTGTGGGCAAAGCAGAAAGAACAGAAGCGCTCTTGTACCATATTAGAACTTTTTGAAAAACAGCCAAGGTCCAGAGGTCAAATTTCCCCATATGCTATAAGCAACTTAGTAGGAAGAAAGACCACAAAAGTTTTGCAAATGTCTGCCAGCAGCCGGGTGATCTAGGTCACTGTACAGGTTTCATTAATCAGGTTGTTCAAACAAGGAGTTATTTTCCTCTGCCTACAGATACCGTGCAGAAGCTACTAAGTTGTAGATCAAGAAAGACATTTAATAAAATAAAGACTGTTTAAAGGAGGGGCCGTGGGGGTGGGGGACAAATTTGCATGTTTACTGAGGAGAAATTGTGCATTTAAACCTAGCTTCTCTGCCTGAGTCCTCTGTGCTGGCAGCGACAGGCTCAGGATCTAATAATAGTACCTTGGGTTGTGGATCTCTCCACATACGTGTTCGGGTGTTGGAACAGCAGGAGGAATTGGGTGACAGAGCAGGCGCTGTGGTTTATTCCCTGACGGAATGAATGGTAAAGAAAGGGTGGTGGCAAAACAATTCTTTTGCGTCTTTCTTTATACAAAAATAAAATAAAAACAATGCCTCCAATGACTCCCCCCCCCCAAAAAAAAAGAACTAGAATTGTCATATTAATATGTAGGCAAACACATTTGTTCACTTGAGCCTCTGGTGAGGGGGGAACTTATTGTGAAAATGCTTACCCAAGAAGATTTATTGCTGATGGCAGAGCTGGTATTGACATGTCTTAGGTAAAGAAAACTTCAGCTTTAACTATTAATGTGGGAAAGTGGTACTAGCTTTGAAGGGGGGGGGGTTTGAATGAGTCGGTGTTGTCACAAATAAATTATTGATTTAGGATATAACTTTTAATAAGAGAGGTCAACTGTAGAGGTATATGGAGGGATGCACCTTAATTTTGTATGGCTTTCCCTGGAGAAAGAATAGGTAGGTAATCAAAATTAGATTTAAATCAGCCTTTTTGCCAGACTCACTGTAATGTAACACCTCTCCCCCTCCCCTTCAGGATTTTATTATTATGATGATGAAATATGAGATTTAAGATCAGAATCTAAGAATCCAAAGACAGTACTGTTTTAAAATATTATTTGAAAGCTATTCCTCAACCTCTATTTCTACATTCCTCCCAGGAGGTTAAGTACCAAAGTCCATATTTTTTCTTGAATGTAGGTGGATTGCTCTTATAAACATGAAGTTAAGTCGTGAAAACATGACAGGGAAAGGAAAATAAAATTCCTTCTCCTTCCAACTGGGATCATTTGAGATTTTAACAATATTACTTTTCACTTCACTTGATTACATAAGGGTAAAACCTGACACCCACTTAACTAAGTTATCATCTTGATAACTCATCTAGGTGAAATTAAAATGATCTTATCCTTATGTGCTCTGCCCCCAATGCATGTAACTGAAAAGCTCACAATTTCAGAAAGCAGGGCATGCTTGAGAGGGAACATCTTGGGGAGGATTGTAATTTGACCTTTGCATCAACCTTGCTGAGGAAATTCTAAATATTATAGAACAAAATACAGTCTCAAGGTGGAATTCCATCTACCCCCTCTTCCTCTCAGAACTAAGAACCAGTCAGAAGCTATTTCAGAGATTAAGCTGGAGGATGTGTGCCTTCACACCTTTACTGAGAAAATTTGTCACTAGAGATAAACGTAGACTTCTATTACATGCCACCCTCATCAATCACCCAGTAGATTATCCCAATCTAGCTCCATTTTAATAGTTATTACTAGAAACACTGGAGCGTCCCCCCACCCATCCTCCCACTGAACAGATATTTATAATAGTATTACAAACCTTTGTAACTTGAATATGATGGCAATTGGGGGGGGGGGCGGGGGAAGCCGTTCTTTGACAACTTTGCAGCTTTTGATTAAACCACACCAAGAGGCAGGTTACAATGATAACAATGAAGCATTATGCCAATTACATTAAATCCTGCTTGCAGCTTAAGCTCATCATGACCTGTTTTGGTGTCCTGTAATTTATCCCTTGGAATGCTTACTCTTATCTTAGTGTTCACCTCGAGGGAGGAGGGTGCCACCAACAGAAAACCACCCCCCTAAATGACTTCTAGAAAACAAGTATTTCTTAACTTTTTATTGACATTGGCAAATTAAAATAGAATAAATTAACAAGTATTTTTTCAAAAAAATGTTTTGTACAAAAATACTGTCAAAATTTCCTAAAAAGCTTTCAACACAGTAGTATCTTTTCATGTACTGAATATAACTATTAGCACAGTGTCAAAAATGTTGAAGACAGAAACAAAATAAAAATCTGTGAAATGTTTGCCACTGACGACATTCCACACCCTATTATTGTCTGTACATATGGGGGAGGGAGGGGGTAGCCAAGTTTAAAGTGAACAGTATGACTTTTCCTGATCCAGAACGGTTTGGCCCACATCTGTTTAATCTTCCAGTTTAGCATATAGATATATATTTATATATTTTTAAATTAGTCTGTACTCAAATGCATAGTTAAAAAAACAAAGCGAAATGGCAGAGTTTTGTGCAGTAATATCTGCCCTTCAAAGTTCATGCAACCAACTAATGCAATTTTTTCCCTTTCATTCGTAAATCTGAATGCAGTTCAGTCATGTGAAACCATCTACAAAATCCACAAGATTAAGCAGTTTGCCAAGATTAATATCTAACAGTTGAGCACTGGAGAAAGTGAGGAAATAAGGAGGTAAAACAAACAACAACAAAAAAGACCAAGTTAGCTAGATATTTCAACTACATTAGGGAGGTGAATGTCAAGGCTACAAAAACGAAACAAAAACTCGGAGGGGGGGAAGTGGCAGCATTTTTTTTTTTTAAACCAATTTGTACAAGTTTATAGTTTACTTTGTTTCCAAGTTCTCAAACCTTTCAAGATCTGAAAAGCGAGATACTGTGTCTAAAGGGAATGTTTTTGTTTTGTTTTGAATTCAC